TACCCCACAAGTTGGGTGTAGGGATGTTGGTATTGCCGAATATGGAGGTTGTAGGATGTTGGTATTGCCCCGAGTCACCCCAACTCGAGAACTTACACATGCGATCTTCTACTGCCTAGACCTTCTGTAACGCCGCTGTCACATATAATGCCTTCACTCCACAACCTGGTCTCCTTCTGGAAACTTCTTATTCTGGTTTCATACTGCACTTGGACTTTCCACAGGGCTTCATATCTGATTATAGCCCCATAGGTTACAGAAACAAATTATTTAATTTGTCTCCAGCCTGACTCGAACTATTGATCTTGTCTGTGGGGGTTTGGGAGCTTAACCAATAAGCTATGGAACCCAAACCCTTTTTTACAAATCTTTTTACCTTTTACCCATTTAAATATATTTAGAAAATACATATTTTATATCATAATAAGATATTTAAAGAAATTAATACAGAAATTGATATGCATTATTTAATATTTATTTTATAGAATTTCAATAACCCAAAAAATTACATTTAAAAACATTATTGATAATTGTAAATTTATAAAAAACCAAATCTTTAATTATTTGTTAATACAATACAAGCAATAAATTGAAGTGCAAAGCAGGATAGCTTTAAGATTAATTTCGATGTGTTTAAGTTAAAATTTAATTTCTCAACGCACTAATATAATATGACGTATTTAAATGTTATGCATCACGTAATCACGTGATTTTACTTAATAAAAGCATTATTGTATTGATATTAACTACCATGAAAATGAAATGTTTTTTAAAATTTATACAAATAAACTTCTTTGCAAATATAAAGGTAGCAATTTCTACGTAATAAATGTAATAACAAATTAAAATAGATTTGGTGCCTGCGTGTTAGTATAATATAATTACGGTAACAAAAACATTTTCGTGACAAAATACAATAGTAGAATTGACTTTGTAAAATATAAATATTGTTATCAATTATACGTATTTGCTGTACAAGAAAACGAATTTTTCTAGAATTTACATCAAATGGTATTAGATATGAACTAATTGTATTTATAAAGAAATTAATTTAAATTTATCTTTGTGTTTGAATTTCTACAAAAGATCTAAGATTCTGACAAAGAGAAGACATTATACTGTTGTAATGATACTTTAACGTGTCAAACAATAGTTAAAAAGGTTTTGAAATTTTTTCAGTGCTTTTATGTCTTTTTTTTCGCTAATAAGCATATTTTTTTAGCACAGCCTTTCATCATTACGTTTGTTTGTTAAACTATACTCTTCAAACTTGTTTTTTTTAGTCTATCTTAAAAATTCAGATCTATAAAGAGGATTCGGTTTTAACGTGTATGATTTACTAGAGCTTCTTGTGTTTCTAAAACTCTTGATATAAATTTATACTTGATAAATTTTATTATAACAAATATATTCAATATAATTATGATAAGTTTTGTTTTTATTTAAAAATTTTTACAAATAAAAAATTCAAAATTAATTTTTATTTTTGCCCAATCATTATTCTATCACTTGGGATCACTATATGAATAAGTTTTGGAACATTGTTCTCTCTTATCGTGATAAACAGCTTTACATCTTATCAAACAATTTGAACACTTGATCTTTTTTTTCATTCTTGGCTCATGACTTCAGGCAATTTTGGCCCATAACCCATGATTTCAGGAAATTTCGGAGCAAACCAACAATTATTCGTATTATGATTAGTTTTTTGACACCATTTACACCACTTATAATTTTTATATTCAATATCATCCCAATCCCAGTCAGTTATAGAGCCACAATAGCAATATTTCTTGTCTACTGAGCACTAATTACACTTGCTCACTTCTACACCCATAGAAGGGAGGATTTTTTGGTTTGGAACCCCATCCTTCTTCCTCTTGGTCTAGAATAAATAGTTATTGATCAATATTTCATACATTATACTAAATTATTTGAATATACTCACAGCGCATTATTTGAAATATAATATCAGTGATTTTGATATTAGTATATTCAGTACAGGACATTTATATTTATGCTTCGATTTATATCACAAATCCAGTATTTTTGTATTTAGCAATAGGAATCATTAGTGGTGTCCTATACCAATTAAAATATCTACCAATTATATGTTTTTATTATACATATAAAAGAATACATAACATATTTTAATGCAGTATCACACTATTTACTAAGAATCATATGCATTTAGTTAGAATTTACAATACATACATACTACGTATGTATACATAAAACACAGTTAGAAATTAGCTGATAAATAATACCGGTTTATCTTATTATTAGATAAAAATAATATGCAAGATATGATTTAAAAGCTTATCGGTGAACTTTCGTCTGATTGGCTAATTCAAATCAATTGCTCGGTAACTAATTTATACAGTTTAAAGTACTTTTTCAGAGAGATTCAAAATTTAGCTTTGCCTCTTTAGAATTCTCTATCAAATATGTAGACCTTAACTATTGTTGTAAAATTACATTCCGAACTTCATTAGACAATTTTTATGATGAGTGTAAACAAAAAAAATAGGGTTTTTAAAATCATATTTAGACAATTTAGATTTGGAATTATAGAATCACATTTTGAGCTACGATATATTTGTTTAATAATAATAATAATATTTATTTTGAAAAATTAGGCGTATTATTATTTTTTTTAAAAAAAACTAGTAATTACATTCTGAATGTTATTAGACAATTTTTATGATAAGACAAAGGTAATTTAGATTTGGAATTACAGAATCATATTTGAGCTACAATACATTTGTTTAAATAATAATAATAATAATAATAAAATAAATATATTGAAAAATCAGACGGATTATCATTTTTTTTAAAAAAAAACCAGTACTTTAACTTTCATAGCTAATATCTCGTTGAATTCTGAAGCTATTATCATTATTTAATTGATAAAAGAAAGCTCAGATCTTCAGCTTTCCTTTACCTATTAAATGATAATAATAGCTTCGAAATTCATTGAAATATTAGCTGTGAAAGATAAGCATTAATTTTTTTTAAAATGTTAATCTCCTGATTTCTATTGACGATAGCCTATATTTCAAGAATTTCAAATTATTTACAATTTACAATACATCGAATTTTGTTTTTGAATTGAAAACTGGTTATATATATAATTTTTTTTAAAATGTTAATCTCCTGATTTCTATTAATGATAGCTCATATTTCAAGAATTTCAAATTATTTACAATTTACAATACTTCGAATTTTTGTTTTTGAATTAAAAACTGGTTGTATATATAATTTCTAATATAATTTCTAAGGTATCCTATATTAAATTCAATACTTTCAATATTATTGTTTTCAAGGTATTAATTCTATTTGTTGACTAATGATCGATTGATTGAGTTCAATTTTTCTAAAAGTCTTTTTATCTCTATATTTGCCAAAATTCTTCTTTCTTGTAAAGTTCGATTCCTTATAATACAGTTTGAAAGTCTTGAGTTTATTCGATCAATTGTTTTTGCGACTTTATCTTTTTTGATTCATTCATTTTCTTGATTTAGGAGCAAATATTCATGTCCAATTGTTTTTTTGAAGAGTATATTTCGTTTACAATTTTGTTTAAGGAGTAATTGTCTAATTTTTCGTTGAAGGTACAAATTTTCTTTTCTGCTTTGTTTAATGGTTCGATTTTTTTTGTTTATATTATTCTTGAGTCGTGCATTTTCTTCTTTCAATTTATCATTCTGCTGAAGCTTAATGTTGATAGTTTCTTTCAGTCTATTACTAAACTCTTCTTCATCGTCGTCCACTTTAATAACTAACATTGAATCATCGTTATCAGCAGCATTGCATTAGAGGCATTATAAAAATTAAAAAAAATAAGAGCAAAAGAAGCATAAAAGCTTTGAGGATAAAAATAATGAAAAAGATATCCATTTTGCAAATTAGATTCACAGTAATGTTTTTATCATAATTTAAATACTTTCAACTTCTGCACAGCTCTTTTAATGCATAAATAATCTTTAATTCTAAAAAGAATTTAAGAGTGGAAATCTTTTTTGATACAAAAAATTTTTATAGCTCGAGACCTGATTTTTCGCAAAAGTGCATTATCGTACAGCATTTTGAGGCTTAGCACGCATATTAGAACATGCTTTGTTCTTTATGATTCTTTACTATATTACCAAATTTGATCTTTTTTCTTAAATAATTCTTTTTAAAAATTAAAAAATTTGATATTATCTTAATGCAAAGGCATATCCTCACAGCATTTTTGAGGCTTAGCACGCGTATTAGAATGATATCAGCCACACAATTTATCACACAAATTATTTGTATAATATATTTTAATATAGGATCAAATAATTGATGCATCTAAATTTTATATGTAAAATTTGGGCAAATTTTGCTTTTTAGGTTTATTTAATAATAAAAAAATTGTTAGTTTAATTCATAGATATCATTTTATAAGTTCTTTGGCATTTGAAGGATCTTCTTATAAAATTTTAAGAATAGTTTAAAATAAAATTGAGAAGAATCAAGACCACAAAGTAGGCCAATTTTTTTGTGATTTTTATGATTTTTACTATTTCTTTACAAGTGATCTATATCATTTAATCAAAATAAGTAATGAGAAGATGTCAATTGAATTATTTTATTTGACGCCTTCTCATTACTTATTTTGGGAGACATCTAAAGCAGAGGCAACTCATATTTTTTAATAATTTACTTGATTAAATTTAGAGTTAGGGCCACTTTAGGTTAGGGTTAGATTAGGTTTTAGGTGGTTAAATATATGCAAAATCGCCTTCCCGACATTTTTAATTAACCTATCCAAGGTAGGTTTAGACTGCTATTTTTTTATTTTTCAGGTTTTCACTTCTTTCTTTGCTAGCGATTATCAAAATTTTGTAATTTGATTGGCTATTGATCATGTGATGTGCCTCTACTTTAAATATCCCCTTATTTTGATTAAATGATATAGATCACTTGTAAACAAATAGTAAAAATTATAAAAAATTGGCCTACTTCATGGTCTTGATTCTTCTCAATTTTATTTTAAACTATCCTTAAAATTTTGTGAGAAGATCCTTCAAATGCTAAAGAACTTATAAAATGATACCTATAAATTAAACTGATAGCTTCTTTATCATTAAATAAATCTAAAAAGCAAAACCTGCCCAAATTTTATTTATAAAATTTAGATGCATCGATCATTTGATCTTATATTGAAAATTATATATATAACAAATTGTGTGACTGATATAGAGGTTATTTAGTTCGTATGCATAAATATAAATAATACCATATCAAAATTTAATTGAGAACTTTTTTGATTTAAAAAAAATTTTACAACAGATTTTTTGCAAATATGCATTATCACGCAGCATTTTGAGGCTTAGTATGCGTACTAAAATACGTTCGGTTCTATTATCTTACACAATTCTAATTAAGCAACTAAATAATTTTATGAATTTAATTCTAATTATACAATAAAGTTCAGAACCAAATTTATTTTTTTACATAATAAATTCGGACCAATTTTTTTAAGAATACTCAGATCTCACATGTTGATATCACTATATGACTTAATATATAATATTTAGAGTGGCAGCTTCAATTCGGTTTGTTTATAGTTTTGGCAGCACTAGATATGGACATTTGTGCTTCAGAAGGAAACCAAAATACAAATTAATCTTGATAATTGCAAATATATTGTGACTAGAGATTATTATTCTATGGCTATTAATAATAAAAATAAAAATAATATTCGATTACTAAAAAACATATCTTTTTATTTATAAATATAAATTGAAAATTTGTTTTTTTATTGTTTTAATTTAAAAAGATTAATTTTTTTGTTATAATAAAGGATATAAAAAATTTTCGCGTATAAAATTCTTTGTACAGAAAATTTTTTTTCATTCTAAAGAGAAGAAAATTTTAAAGTCTATAGATTTTACAAGTACGCATTATTACGCAGCATTTGAGGCTTAGTACACATATAAAATAAAATACATTATTTTTTTCAGTTGCAATTTTTTGTCCTTCTATGTATAAGTCATGCAGTCTCAATTAAGCATAATTCTAAATTTTTATAAGATCTGAAAGTAAATTTTGATTCCGAATTTATTGAACAATAAATTCGATTCAAATATCATTTAAAATGTATATACCAATATTAAATTATATCAATATATATATACAATATATAAAATAGAATACGTAGTAAATTTCAATTAATAAACATATTATATTTTAAATTATTAAATATAAATTAATTAAATATATATAAATAACAATTCATTCGAAAAAGATTGTTTAAAACATTTGCCAAAGTTTTGTGAATCACATAAATAACTATTAAAAATTATCTATTTATTATCTATTACTGTAAACTCAAAACAATATTTGTAAAAATGATAAATTCTACAAAAAGGAAACTTTGTCAACATTCAATATTAGTTAAACCAAAAAGAAGATGTACTATTGTTTTGGGTATACCCAAGCTACCTAGTTATGATTCAAGACCTACAAAATTGTTTGTTATGGGTAGCAATAATTGTAATCAACTTGGCTTAGTGAATGTAGATAAAGTGAAGTCTCCTAAGCATGTAGAAAATATAAACGAATTCAAAATCATTTATATAAGTGTTGGAAGTCTTCATGCTGCTGCTTTGACATGGGATAGAAAAGTAAATAATATATTTTCTTTGTTTAAATTAGAGCTTTAAATTATTTGATTAATTTATTCTTTCTCTAGATTGTAACTTGGGGTTGTAATGATCATGGTACGAGTTATTTCCATCTGAAACAATTTAATTTCTTGGTGACACGTCGCTTATTTATTTAAGAATTGATGTTTAATCAAGAAATTATTTAATGTTATTATTAGGTACTTTAGGTAGAATTACAGAAAGTGAGAATGATGAAAAGGCAGAAAGTAAGGATGATAAAAAGGAGGCAGAAAGTGAGGATGATAAAAAGGCAGAAAGTGAGGATGATGAGGATAATAAAAAGGTAAGAAGTGAGGATGT